CTCACCTGGGCCATATTTATTTTGCCAGCTTAGATGTGCCATAGGTCTCAGACTTCCTGTAGGCAGAATTTCAATTGTCAGCAAAAAGGAGTGTGGAGAGGGCTCTGGAACTGTTTCTCTTCGAAGCACCTGCCTCCCAGTGCTGTGTTCAGATGAAGCCTGTCTGAATTGCCACTATTATTATTTTTGCAGTTACACAGATCGTTCTAAAGGGACAGTTATGGCTATTCTTCTTCCAGGTAGCATTTTGAATCTCGTGGTCATCCAGCCATATAATGACTGTAATAGCCAGCACACTCAGCCTGCTGTAACTGTACTGAGTTTTATTTAATTTTCTTGGTGACCTGGGTTTGCTGTTTATTTTGTTGGGTGTGTAATTGTGTCCCTAAGGAGATAAGGAGACAGCACATGCACTTTATGATAGAAAGAAAAGACTGCCTCTACCATTTTTGATCTTAAACAAGTTGGGGGAAAAAAAAGAGAGAGACATTAACATTGTTTTAGCTCACATGTGTGTCCTGCAATGTTCCCACCAATATACATTGCTGACATCAGCTGAGCTTCTCGAATATATTTGGTTTGTGTTCTGCTTCTGTTACAGGCTCCCAGCAAACAGTCATGCTTTTGAGCCTGATGCTCAGTTTGCTAACTGGAAATTAAACACAGTATTAGGAATCTCCATCTGGGAAAGAAAGGGAGCCACCTTCTCACCTCCTAGCCTCACATGCACAGTTTCTGCAGTCTCATGGAAGTTACCATCAGAGTTAATGGAGCAGCTCATTTATTTCCTCCCGTGGACATCCTATGGGACTGAGCAGAGGAATAGCAGAAACAGCTACCCCAGTGAACTCGCCTGTAGTGATGGGGTCAGTAAGAGGTGGGATGGGAATTTGCCATAGCTGAAGGTAAAATACCAAGCCTCTTATCCTGCCGTTCTTTTAGAAGTTGTCTGTGAGTTTTGATGCTTCCTAGGTGATTCCAGGGACAGCTGCAACCATGCTTGGAGATGTGTCTTGAAGTTTGAAGTCAATTACGTTTTTATTAATGCAGGATTATCTAATGGACAGCCTGGATTGGAAAATGCTGCCTACATGGGGAGTGTGTCCACAGAGCGGTGGTTAGCCTGGATTCAAATTGCAGTGAGGCAGGATCAGGCTTTCCTGTGCTAGGAGCTGCCAAGCAGGATGGAACTCCTGGCCCCTGTCTCAAGTAGCTTTCAAACTAGTGTGAGTGCAGTAGTAAATACACTGAGAAAGAGAGCTGGAATATACTGGAGTTAAAAAATAAATGTTATGTTTCAAGAAACACCTCAGATGATGAATCTGTAGTACAATATTTTAATTCCAAAGAACTCATGACTTACAACCTTTTCCTAGCTAGAAAAAAAAGAGCTTAGCAATTAAGGACAATTAGGAAATTTGAAGATGCAATTTGGAAAACACTCTTAACTGCATTTTTAATGGCATCTTCAAGCTCCTTAAGTTTTTAAGGAGTAATTAAATTATTTGAACTAAGTTACTGTAACTTCAGTGGCTAACTCTATCTCAAGATGTTAATTTTCAGCAGTAGAGTAAGTTACACAGTCTGTGCTCTCAATTAAAACATTAAAGTTTATCTTGAATTATTACACAGCTATGCTGTTCTGAAGACATTTCCTCTCTTCAGAGTAAGGGAGAATTTCTGCAAATTCGCTGACACGTAGATGTTTACAAGTGCTGGTGATTTCAGGTTTAACTGTGACCTTTCAGAGTTGTTCCTGTATTTGCCACAGACTAATTGCTTAACATTTCTCATTATTTGCACTGGAGAGTAAGTGCTTTGTGTCTGTCCAGATTTATGTTCTTGCTGTTGCTATCCTCACTCAGTTATTCCATACATCTGTTATTCCGTACCTCAACTCCTCATTGAGAGCAAACTTTTTGTGCCTTGTAGGATGGAAACAAAGATGTGATATTTCTCCATGGTTGCAAGTTATTGTGAGCTTATTAGATGCAAGTGCTTTATATAAGGAAAAACGTATTTTTTTAGCATGTTAGTAAATGCTGAGAATTCTTTTGTTAATTAGGGCTATCAGATTATCAGAACCTCATCCTAATATCCTGTCTTTTGTCAGCTTTCTGGGACACCTCAGCAATTCACTTAGTCTTTATATATATATGCATGTGTGTGTGTGTGTATGTGTATATATATGTATGTAATATATGTATTTTCCCTTCCTTTTATGCAAAATGAAATTATAGCATTTATGTATTTCACAAGATGATTGTGAAAACAAATTCATTGAAAACTGGAGTGGTCAGATATATTAACATGGTTTTTCCGAGGCATAGAACATGCTGTTAAGCAAGTTATTCTCTAAGAGTAATTATTTGTAGTTATTTCTCAAGGGAATTGGCAGCAGAAAAAAAGACCTAATAAAACAATTTAAACCACAACTTTTTAAAGAGAAGGAAGGGTATGTCAAATCTGAGACATGGCACTTAAAGCACAGAAAAGACATAGGAAAGAAGTAATCAAATAGGGTGTCACAGCAAATGTCTTAAGTGGATGATTTCTAGATTATTTTTTTAATCTTGTCTGCTCACAAGGATTTGATTTATTAAGTGGGTATACAATTTTGATACCTCAAGGGGTATTTTATATCTAATTTTATAAATTAAAGATTTGGAAACCTAATCAATACCTGCATAGATAACTTTGGAGGGAAGTTTTCATGGTAGAGGAATGTCAGGCATTATGGAATAACTTCTCAAGTGCAACATTAAGACACTGCTGCAGGAGTTGCCAGCTCTTATATGAGTCCTGGAACAAAGGCTTATTACCTATGTTTTATCACTTTGTTTTTTGGCTTTTCTATTTATTTTTTTTTTTGAGAGTAAAGTTTCCTTTTTTTGGCCAGTACTGTGGTCTAGATTAATTTTCTTTATTTTCATCTTTGTTAAAAGTGGGTGTCGTGTGTTTTATTTCTTACTCTGAATTGAGGCATGTAACAAAACATCTGTTTATAAAATGGAAGAGTCAGTCCCTGTCAACAGTCACCTAATAGTGACTAAAACAGGCCAGTATAACATTGGTTGGGATAAAAAATTTTATCTTTATGTAATTACTACTTCAGTGCTATAAGCATGAAAAAGTTCCTGGAATAGTTTCCTGTAGTTACAGTGAGTGGCTATCAATTACTAATAAACAGAAAGCACATACTGCATACTAATTTAATATGAAATATTGTTTAAATTAAAGCCACTTGCCATTTAAAAAATAATATTAGATGAGATTTTTTCCAAACTTGAATTTGGATCTGGTTCCAATTTTAATAGGTAAGTTGAAAACTACTGACAGGAGGAAAGATGTTGCTAATGGAATTATTTGCAGACTGTTAATGACACAAATGCTAGAAGGCTACTCTCCAATAATTGTTAATACAAATTATATAGAGATTCCTGGTCAAAAATATATTGCAGAAAAGCTCTTAGCAGACCAGTTGGCACATGACTGTCAAACAGTTTAAAGGAATTTATTTAGGATTCTCTACCCAGAGCAAATGGGAGACAAACTGGTCAGAGAAAGGGAAGCAGGAGGTAATGACTGTACTGCCAACACATCTGGTCCTGCTTCCTCATACCCACAGTGTGACTTGTGCCAAATACGTGTTGTCCCTGCAGGACATAAAGTACTTTGATACCCCATTTTGTGTAATTATTTGTACTCTGTGGATGAAAAATATGTTGTAAGCACAGAGCATTAATTAAAAAATGCTTTTCCCAGCAAAGAAATAGGGCTGGAACCTAAGTATATGTGTATAAAGCTTTGTTTGTACTTAGAACTTCCTATAAAAATATGCTTGCATTCTACACTACAGAAAATGCTGAGAGCCCAGGTGGTTTAGATTCTGTACAACCAGGCCATGAAATAGTTTTACTTGCCTGAAATAATAATTAAAAAATAATCATATCTTCCGTTTTTCTAGTCTTAGGTTTCTGTGCTTAATCAATAATATCTGTGGTAGTATCACTATCCTGGAGGTGCTTGCAGTGTCCTATCCCTTGTGTGACAGACATCCCAGCTGTTGTCTCCTAGTCCATCAGCATCAGTAGCAGTGAGGATCCACAACTCACTGCGAGTGCAGAGCTCCTCGCTGGATGAAGTCCTAGCTACTGTTAAAGAAATACCAGCACTGATCTAGTACTATTTATTCCCTTAGCTTCTGTGTATTGGGAAAGGGATGTAGAAAGCGTGGCCACCACCTCCTGAAATTTCCCAAGCTTGTATGGTCAAATTGGTTTTTTTCCAGCTTGCAGTAGACCCCGAACAGGTTTGATCTAAATTTTAGTGCCAGTGTTACTGTGAGAAGAAACTCAACATAGAAATTACCTATTTTTGAAAGAAAATTCTTTAACTAAGAATATCAGATTTGTCACCCTACTTTTCCATAGGGATCAGTAACATTTGGAACTCAAAACTCGAAAGACTTGGAGGGTGCACACTGTCAATATTTTATGGCCTACAGTGAAGGTTTCTTAACCTTTTCATTCCATTTTCTCTGATAATGCTTTCTCCTTACATAAAAATAGGTTTTAATTGATCCTTCTGCCATGCTTTTGGTACTCACTCTCACATTGACATATGAAATCAGTTATTGCTGGTTTTCAATTTACTCAAGGAGCTCTTCAGAGGAGGGTACTTCCTGTAAAAGATTCCAGATTTCTGATTCCCATTCCCCAAAATTCATTTATGTGAAAGTAAATATTTAATATCTACCAGGCTCAAATAACTAAGCTACACTTCAAAATAAATTGAATAGTAAAAATTCAATAAACCTAATTTACAGTAGCATCTATAAACATTTATCTTCTGTGTAGTGGAACTGACTTTGACAGATCTGCATGTGTTCAGCCATAGCAAGTAGAAAGCATTCCTCTGCAGCTGTTTCATCCTCACCCTCACAGGATTTCTCTGTGCTGCTGCGACAGGAGAGGTAACTGGATGTTCTTTTTTGGCAGGTACTGGACTGGATTGAAAATCACGGGGAAGCCTTTCTGAGCAAACACACAGGCGTGGGGAAGTCCCTACACAGAGCACGTGCGCTGCAGAAAAGACATGATGATTTTGAAGAGGTAGCACAGGTAAGAGTCTAAATTGGAGATTTTTGCTGTCTGAAGTGATTTTTGTTACTCCTTCTGTATACTGAGAAAAAGCTATTGCTGTGTTGGGTCACGCTGCTCACTTCAAACATTTGGAGCTGAGCAGGATCCTGTCTCCGAGGTTCAGAAGTCAGCATGCACACTGCAGAGCATGGCAGCGGCAGGAATTACAATCAGAAAATCACCACACTGGGTCGATGAAAGGTCTCAAAGCCCATGAGAAATTGCAAGCAGTTTACAGGAAAGCAACACAAACTGTTGGGACATAGAGGAGAATGGTTTATGAGAGACAGTGATAAAAAAATCAATTGTAACTCCTGCAGTGGAGACTGAGGGCCTTGAGAATACGGTGGGAGGCAGTTAGCCAAGAAGCAGGGGAAACACTAGAGTGTGTTTGCAGTGAGGGCAACTACCTTCCACTCCTTCTGAGAGTACAGTGGAAAGGAATTTTTGCTTCTTTTGGAATTAGAGGCAATTGTTACAGGTAGACCGACCTTCCTTCCTTCCTTCCTTCCTTCCTTCTTTCCGTCCATTTGTCCGTCTTATTTTTCTCTAAGTATCCATGGCCAGAAATTATCCAGTCTCAGCTCTGGCTGTCAGATCATGTTACAACATTTTGGCTTAGATTTGAAGCATCCTCTATCTGTAATTGATAATCTGTAAATCCATTAAAATCCTGATTGATCTGTGTAAAGCAGAATGGATCAAATGCTTTGTCTTGCTGGTGCACCCGAGGCAAGTTGTTGCTGAAATGTTTCACTGCATCTTAAGACAAAAATTTACTAGACTTTAGTTTTGGTTTTCTTCAGAACCATTCCCATGTGACGGCCTAGTTTAGTTTAAGATATTTCCAGTAACAGGGACATACCTCTTTCACTGTTTCATCAGGGAAAATATTTCACTACCTGATGGCAGCTACTGACTAGATGTTTATTTTTTCTCCTCTCCCTCATATTCAATTTATATTTTTCTCACTCTTTTGTTTTTTTATTATTCCCTTGTTTATATCCCTTTGGTCTTATTTATCTCTCTTAAGGAGACATGCCAGGAAAAGGGATGAATTAATAACCCTGAAATAAATATCTGTAGAATGTTGGCATGTCTTCTCTTATGTGCCTCTTAACCGTATTAAACATATTTAATTCTGCTAGAATGTTCTCATTCACCAATCTCTTAGATGTCTTTTCTTATCTGTGTTGTTGGAAATTCAGATTACCAATACTCTTCTTTAAATTAGATTTTCAGCTGTTGATGGAGTATCCAATTGCATGGCTTGCTAATGAACTTTGGTGTTACCTTTCAGCCGTGATGGGAAATCTTTACATACCATTGACAAATCACACAGCCTGAGAGCAGCAGTTCTAGATTGATGGGTTTCTAAAATGTCATGGGACCACCTGTGGATTTAAGCCTTCTGGTAACAGGCTTGAAATTTTGAAAATTTAAATCTGCAAATTTATTAAAATGGACCTGAGGCTGGAGGTTGCAAATCGTGGCTCTACAAGGCCTCATCCAGTGTGAGGTTTCCTCCTGAAATCAGCATTAGATGCTTTTTCAGAATATATACTTGAGTCAGCTGTTACTGGATACCATCCTGGGCTAGCAAATGAAAATGAAGATCATGCAATATACAGGAGCTGAAACTAAGTGATTTCATATCCTTTGTGGCATTAATATTTTCTAAATCTCCCTCCTCTGATACATTAGCTTCATAACTCCAGTTCCATCTCTCATTTCTGGATCAGATTAGCTTTTTTTTTCTTTTTTACCTCTTCTGTGAGATTATTTCACTGGAGATGTAGGAAAAAATTAAGAACAGGTGAGAAAAGACAGAAAAATAACATGGTCTTGACAATAGAGATGAGAGCAAGCCATGTAACTGTCTGCACATGGAAACAACAGCTCATTTAAGGCTTGCTTTGCTGGCTGATGTAATTAGGAGATACATCCCCTCATCAGGATCGAGAAACCTTACAGATGTGCAGCTTGCATGTGTAGGTACTAAGGCAGAATATAATTAGTTCACTAAAGACTTTTCTAACCCATCTGTTAGTCCTTCTTCTCTATTATTTTAGCATGTCTGCCTGTGAATAACTTTAGACACGTTTCCTTTCACTTCACGAGGCCAAATTCAGAGCAAATGAATCTTGTTCACTGGCTCACCACATGTGTTCAAGTGAGGGGAATGGAGAGGAAAGAGAAAAACGTAGTTTGCATGGTTCTGAAACCTCTTGGGCTCCTCTGAATCTGATTCTTTTACATCCTATGTGGTAGCATCAATGAGCATCTCATTGCTCTGCCTGGACAGCTTAGAACAGTTATGATCAGCCCTGTACTCTGAGAATGAAGTTTATGGTGCCTCCTAATTGGAAATAATTGACACAAGTTGAACCTGGTTACTTCCCAACGGCTTTGACAGGAATAGTTTCCTCTGGTGCATTCACGAGAATATCACTGCTAATTTATGAGGCCTGTCTGCAGTGTGACACTGGAATGTGGTGCTGGCAAATGGACATGGGGACATGCAGTGAGGGGAAGTGAAAGGAATCTCAGGCTTTATCTGAGGTCAAGGACTTGAGAATATAATACTCTTTGCTTTGGAAAGAGTAATAGTGAGGGTAAGAGGGGAGGCCATAAATTTATCACACCTGGAGTTCTCTTGCAGAAGCTTCTAGTGGGGTCGATTTGGGGGAATAAATCTCCTCCCTGCTCTGATTATGACTAGTTTTTATTCTTCCTAACTCCCTTCTTGATGCTTAACTCCTTAGAGCTGGTTAGTAATTAATTCTAAGTTAAGTTTAAATATTTGCCATTTTTCTCAAGCTATCAAACATCTTTGCCATGGCTAGGGTGGATGACTGGCAGGACATATTCCCAGTATAGCCATATAATAAAGCACGTGTGCTAACATTCTAAACAAACCATCGAATTTGCCCTTTCCTCTCATCAGGATGTTAATTAATAACATTAATGGCAATAAAAAGAGTTCAAGGTTTTTTCCTTAAAAAAAGTAAATAATAAAAAGTATCATTCTGACAGACCTGGTGAGATTGACAGTATAACCAGTAGTATTTGCTATTGGCAATTCTCTGATAAAAACACTTAGCCTGCCATACAGTATAAATCTATTTTCCAAAATATACTTTCCTTTAGCTCTGATATATTTGGTCTTATCTCCTGCTGTTTCAGGAAGGCATTTACAAAGGTCAGACTAGAAGCAATTTTAATAAGTTTTCTTGATATTGTCAACAAAGGGCAAAACATTCCTGGTTTTACCTGTCTGCATGTGAAGCAGAATTGTGTATCCAGGATTGCTGTGCGGAGAAATGCTCTGATTGACTGACCTGCCAAGGCACTAGATTGAGAGGTGGAACGTGCTCCCTCTATGTCTGATTAGAAACTCCACAGATTGATAAATCTGGATGTAATGATTCAGTCAGACATGGCCCAAATAGATCACATTCCTGCATACAGCTGTGCTTGGAAAATGTCAGTGATTTTACAGCACTGTATTGTGGGCAATAGGAAATATAATTTGGGGCCTCCTTCTCTCATAACTGCTGTTTAGACAAAGCCCTGGCAATTTTTCTGACCATAAATACACTACATGGAACGCACAGATGGCAAATGTTTGAATTAGGATTAAAAAGCCTGAGCTCCTGGGAGGGAGGTTGTTATCTTGTATATACCTGCAACTGTTTCTCAGGCAGTGCTGAAACTGTTCACAGGCTGCCACCCTGAAAATGCCAACCTCAGCACAGCACAGTGCCTACCATGCAGTGAAATTTAGTAGTCAAGCATTATCGAGATATGACCAAAGGAATATCACTCTGAATGTAGCTGCAGTGTTCCAATGATGGCCTCATTGCTTGGCTGGAATTATTTTGTGCAAATCAGATAACCACAGTCCAGCCACTCATGGTTGTAAATCCAAAGATAACTTCATTTTAGACTCTTTAACTTTTCCTTATTCAGGGCTCTTACCCTGAAAACATCATGCCTTCCAGTTGGAAAAATCTCCCCACACTTCAACACTATCAAGCTGAGCTGCACGTGTTGGAAGCCCATCTTTGTAGATAAAGAGAGAGGCCACAGATCATTTTCCTTTCTGCCATTCCCAGCAGTCAGAGGTTAAGGTGGCCTTCTCAGCATCCTGTGCTCACAAAGAGCATTGCTGCCTTTGTGCTGGTGCAGAATTAGGAAAGATGCTGGGAAACTGCTCTGTTAATCCCCTGCATTCTGCTGCCGTAGGACTGAGTGGTTTCGTGCTTTGAATGATCCAAAACGAGCATTTCTTTAGTCTTTCTGCCTTTATGAGCTTTTCCATCAGATGTGCTGTTAAGATTTCCTATTGTGTAGGTTTATCCACATTTTGGCAGGCGAACGCCCACCAGTGCCGATTTCAACCTGCAGATGGCAGTCGCAATGCGCTGTAAAGCCTTTAGCTCTAATGGTAAACACAGCCGGTGTTTCTCGTCCAAACTAACCAAACATTGTCTCGGAGTGAAATGAAGCAGAAGTGGGAGCTGGCTCGCTCGCTGTCCCGTGGTGTTCTCCCACCCCTGCCAAAACCCACATTGTTCAAGGTCACTCAGAAAAACAACTCTCTTTAATATTTTATTTTTTTTTTTAAATGCAATGCTGGGCGATCCCTGGTTTAATGCAAGGTAGTGTTTGTCATCTGTGTTTAAGGGATAAGCTGCTCTCGGATCTGTGGAGCTGCTCTTGGGCTACATTAAGCTCACCGTAGAACTGGTTTTGTATCTAGTACCTGTGTGTGTGTTTGCATGCAACAGCATGTGTATTTTCCAAAATCACCAATGTTTACAAGGTAAAATATCACAACTCCAGCACACAACAAAGCATGTGTTCTGAACAGCCTTGGCCCAAAATGTGTGGGGTTGTCCCTTGTTATCAAACACAGTAAGAAGGCTGACTGGAGGCAGTGTGTGGCCATCAGATTTCATGGGGTGTGTCCAGTG